GAGCACAACAGGCCATGAAACGGCTGAGGAACCGGAGACGCGACCACAGGACTGGTCGTATCAGCGGCCAGGTTGGTGGCAAGAGGGCTCCTACTACGAGAGGCCCTGGGGATCAGATTCCTGGGCGCCTCGAACTTGGGGCCAGGATGAGGCCACAACTACGGCGCGGGAGACCGCGGCAAGCGAGACCGAGGAGAACCCGAGCGATAACAGCGGCCGAAGAAGAGAAAGCAATGCGAGTGACTCCACCTGGAGTTATTCCGACTGGACCCAGAGCACCGCATGGTACTCTGGAGGATGGTGGAATCAGTGGCAAGGAAGCTGGGGAGCATGGCCCTCAGCAGGCTCACCACCTGCTACGGCCTCCCTCCCCGAGCTCATGCCAGACTTCGCCCAGGGCTGGTTGTTACTCCAAGATTGCAACCTGGATGCCAGCGAAAGGAATCTTGTGATCACCGCGGCAGGTGGCGACTTCAGCCTGAACCGCGTCATCAAGGAGCTTCGTGCACAGTTTCCTGATGCGGACTTGAAGCGCAGGGACACAAGCCGCCGACAACATGGATTCCTCGGGGCGATCCAGGAAGAAGATGAGGATGACTATGAGGACCACCCGGCCGAGATGAGCTTCATCGCGGAGGAGGAGTTGAACGACGAGGGCATGGCGCTATGGGCGGCGGCTTCCGATGAGGCCGAAACGGCCCTCGCGGCCATGCACCAGGCCAGAAGAACACTTCGCGAGGCTCGTCAGAAGCAGCATTCAGTCAAGATGAGTCGGCAGTACTACCGTCCTGGAGGCAATGGCCGCCGGGACGACTCACAGATCATCTGCCTGAATTGCGGAAAGAAGGGGCACCGAAAGGCAAACTGCCCTGGGAATACCAGCACCACGTCCCGAAAGGAGCCAGAGTCCGCCCCCTTCGTATGCTATGCCGGGGATCCCGAGCCCAAGGTGGACAATGAGTTCGCGATGGGCACGAGCGTGCCAACGGCAGCCGCGGTGGCCCAAGGCAAGTGCGTAGTGGACTGTGGAACTACTCGCTCCATTGGCTCAATCCGGGCCTTGGAGCATTTGATGAGCCGCAACCTCGTGAAGACCGGCAACACGGGCGTGAACCAGGTGGACCTGCAGGATAAGCCAACTTTCAACTTCGGCAACTCGAGCGAGAATCAGTGTGCCAGCACCGTAGAGATGAAGTTGCAGGCAGGTCAGCGAGAAGGGCGTCTTCGCATCCACGCCTTGGACATGGGTCAAGGCCCCATCCTCCTGTCGATTGCCGCTCTTCGAGCTCTAGGAGCGGTCGTGGACTTCGCGGAGGACGTCATGGTCCTGCGCAATGTGGACTGCCATCGCCTCATTGAGCTTGAGCGATCCGCCTCAGGACATCAGCTTTTAGATCTTTCGGCGGACCTTTTTGAGAAGTCGCAGCCCACAACGCAAGCAGTGCCTAGCTTGCGAAGTTTTGTACAGACCGAGGTTGCCGACGAGTAGGGACAGCACCTCTCCGACACTTGCCCTGAGGTGAAAGGAGAGGACCTACAGAGTAGATCAGGCACAGGGTTATACGTCAGGAACCCGGGGAAGGGTTTCGCTGATTTCAAGGGTACCTCCGATCCCCATGTTTTTATGGAAAGTAGAGATACTTGTGATTCAAAATCCAGTGAAGCACAGAGCCAGCAGTCAGACTACGCAGCAGCCGCGCTAGCCTCAGAACGTTCAGCAGGCAACACCACTCAGGAGCCCAGACTCGTCAAGTCGTCGTTGACGGATCATGTCGTCGGTGACCAATGCTCAGCTGCGAGCTCGCGTTGCAGAGTACGGGGAACAAGCCCCG